GGCTAGGGCGCCAGCCACATACACCTAGGGTGGCGGGTTCGAATCCAGCCCAGACCCGCCGAACAACGATGACGACCGCAACCAAAAAATGGCCGGGCGTTGTGGAGGGCGCCTTTGGTCCCAGCTACTTGGGAGGCGGAGGCAGGAGACTCGCTTGAGCCCAGGAGTTGGAGGTTGCTGTGAGCTGTAATGGCACTCTACCCAGGGGGACAGCTTGAGGCTCCTGTCTCAAAAAAAAAAAATAATAATAATAATTGGACATACCCAGTCTCACTGCCAGCTACCTAGATGTTCTCAGAATCAAACCAAAAATCTAACAGGATACATACAGACAATAAAAACCAAGCACTCAGTTAAAACTGTCAGACACAGACACCAACCAAACCATAATCAGACTGACAAAACCAGACATGGGCATACACACCATGCAAAGTCCAGGGACCAGAGTGAAAGTCAGCCAGTGATCACAAAGAGCTGTACATTAAACATACAGAGGCAGGTAGACATACGCAGATGGAGCAAAAGTATCACAGCACCCACACACACAAACACCGCTGGGAGGCCCATCATGAACAAATAGGCAGGCAGACCAAGCCAGCATGGTGGATCTGGACTCAAACAGTTAGCAGGATGCAGTCAGAACAATTGTCAAGCATACATGGTTGCAAACCGTAACACAGAAGGAATACACAGTCAGACTTGGGGATCATATACACATACCTAGCCAGAGAAAATTTGCCATTTTAACAGTCACCAAATCAAACCCAGAGATGGAGTTGAGTGGCTACATACAGCCAGAACAAGTCACACGGACATAGTTGATACCACAGTATAGCACACACACACACACACAAAAACATTGCAATTAGCAATCATAGCGGACAGAATCAGTCAGACAAACCCAAAATCAAACTCGAAGAATCAGGTGGACAGGAAGTCAGAATTCCCAGTTCCCAAGCATCAGACACTTAGGCTTAGAATCATGGTACACAGGACACTGCCACAGTCAATCATAAGCAGCCAGAGACAATCAGCCAGCACAACAGTCACTGAATCAAACCCACAGAGTCTACATCTACTGGTTATGTACAGTCATGCATAGTCAGCATCAGAGTGTAATGGACATACAAAATTGCCCACTAGCCAGAAGCAGCCAGAATAACAGTCACAAAATCAGCACATAGTCCATTAGAGTCCTATAGTCAGAGCAAAAGTCACACATGCTGTTGGCATCACCATACACAGGCCTGCCCAACAGTCTCAAAGTATAACACCTGGGAGTCAGCCGGACACAGAGAGTTAAAGATAGCAGTCAAGGGTCTGCAGGCCAGCCAAGGGGTGGCTGCTCACTCACCCCTCGGGTTCCATGTTCAGGAAGGTGCCAATAACTCAGATTTGATGATGAACAGGTAACTGGACATGGCTGGTACAGGTGGGGAGAGGTATAAGCAGGATTCTCTTCATTCCCCCACCTTGTCTTCCCCAGTCCAGCCCACCTCACCCCCCCTTTCCCCAAGCTGACCCACACCTCTCAGAATCCTTACCTCCAATATTGTGCAGACAGATGACCATGGCCACCACTGCCTTCTCCTCAGGCCTGAATGCCCTGATGCCTAGTAGGGGGAGAGTGTAGGCAGTTAACATGTTGTAGGTCCAGGAGGCCAGGCAGGGGTGCAGGCCAGAGGGTCAGAGAGCTAGGAAGTTGGGGCTTGGGGCAATTGGGTTTGATCGATGGAGGCTGGAGGTGAGGGTCAAGCAGTTAGGGCTGAGTTTGAGGGCAGAGTCTAGAAGGTGGGATCTGAGGCCAGGGAAAAGTTCGGGGGCAAAGGTAGGAAGAGGAAAGTTTGGAAACAGAATATGAACTGAAACCACAGTGAGAGTTAAGTCCAGGAATTAGGGAGTGGGGGAGCACTGAGGAGTGGGGTCCTCAAGTTTATGGGGCTGGCTTCCAGGTTAAAGGGGAGAGTCTGAGAACTGGAAGTGGGGCTAGAGGTAGAGTGCAATGGTTTGAGCAATGGAATCTGATGGCCAGACTGAGTGGTGGGTGTGGAATTGGGAGAAGGGTATCTGGAAGCCCAGATAAAGTCTCATGGTCAGGGTTCTAGAGTTATGTGTTTTTTGTTTCATTTTTTTGAGACAGAGTCTCACTTTGTGGCCCTCAGTTGAGTGCGGTGGCATTATAGCTCTCAGCAACCTCGAACTCCTGGGCTCAAGCAATTCTCTTGCCTCAGCCTCCCGAGTAACTGGGACTACAGAGTAACTGGGACTACAGGCGCCTGCCACAATGCCTTTCTGTTTGTTTGTTTTAGCAGGCCCAGGTGGGATTCGAACTCACCAGCCCCAATGCATGTGGCCAGCTCCCTAACCACTAAGCTACAGGCGTCCAGCCAGGGTTCTAGAGTTGAGCGAGGAGTCAGGGATGCTGTCCAGGATCTGAAGTCAAGGAGTTAGGTCTGGAGTCTAGGGTTTAAGGTCTGGGGTGAGGTCTGGATGGGGGTCAAGTCTGGTGTCCAAAGAGGCAAGGGTGGGGGCTGGAATCCAGGGTCTGGATCTCACCTACAACACCAGGACACCAGCACACATCAGCAGGAGGTGGGTGGAGTATGAAGACAGCAGTGTGGTGCACAGCAGCAGGGCCCTGTGGCAGATGGCACAACTGAGACTTGGCCCCAGGCCTTCTGCCTGCCCCACAACACCCTGGCCCCTGAAGCCACCTATGGACTCACAGGAAGAAAATGACCCCTGTTTGTGCATGGCATAGGCCAGCCCCAGGATGCCGCTGCCCATGATGGCGTTGCTGAGGTTGAACACTGACATTCCAAATGACGTCTTCCCCTCGAACTGTAGGCAAGGGGCAAAGCCCAGACATACAAGGGCAGGGAGGACCAGGTAAGGAGAGAAGTGCCAGAGCCAGGGAAAGACTTGGGAAGAAGCAAGTGAAGTGGGAGTAGATGCCTAGGAGGGGCCATAGGAAGAAGGAAGAGGCTAGCAGGGAAAAGGAGTTGAAGATTAAGGAAGCTAGGAAAGGGAGAGTTGGGAAGAAGAAAACTAGGAGAGACCTTGAAGGGAACAGCTAGAAATGGAGAGGATCAGTGGAAGGTAGAGCAGTTACCAGAGACAAAACAGTTGGGGAAGCGAGTAGCTGGGAATGGGGATCAGCTGAGGATGGGAAAAACAGCTAGGGGAGAAAAGCAAGCAGGGAGGGAAACCGCTGGGGAGGGCATACCTGGGAAAGGGGAATGTCTCAATGGGGAAGCAACTGAGGAGCGAATGGCCAGGGCAGGGAGTTAGCTAGTCAGGAGGGGACAGCTGTGGAGGAGTAGCTGGGAAGAGGCAGCAATAAAGGAGATTAGCTAGGGAAGGTGTCACTGGGACAGAACCTGAGGGGTCACTCACATCCATGAACTGAACTGGCTTTCTCCCAGGAGCAGCACCTGGGCAAGAAGCCCTCGTGTTCCTGCCTATAGCTGGATAGGGCAGGGACATGCGGGCTCATGAGAGGATAACACTGACACCCCCCCTCCCCACTTCTTTGGACCCCCAACTCACCCTCCAGCATCCACAGGGAGGGCTCCATTCATCTTTGGATCCTGGAGTTCCATCCTGTAGGCAGAGAAATGGGGTGCAGGGGTCAGCTGGGGGGGGTACGAGTTAAGGAGAGCTGCATGAAGGAGAGGGTCTCACAGAGACAGAGAAAGAGATAAGGCAAGGGGACATGAACAGAAAGTCAAGAGAGGCCAATGGAGAAAAGAAATGGGAGCGAGAGAAGACAGAGGAGAGAGGCCAACAGCTACTCAGAAGGACATGGAGAAAAGACGGCAGGGAGAAAAATAAATTGAGGGGGGGAGAGAGAGAGACGGATACAGAGAGGCACCCACAGTAGAAAAGGTGGCTATTACGCGCTGGGAAAGCCTCTCAGACCCCAGACTCACTCTATCTCTCTTGCCATCTGTCTCTTTCATTACCGTCCCCGTCCCCCACTTTCCCTCCACCCTCACTGCAAGGCCAGGTGGGGACACGTGTAGGCTGGCTGCCCCACCCCTCCTAATGCCCCTCACCCCCTTCCTCCCTGCTGGGGGCCATCCTTCCCTCGTGCCAGAGCTGAGGCAACCTGTTGAATGGGCTGGGGTGGGGGCAGACTTAGAGACCCCAGCCCTAGACGCTGCAAACTACTCTCTACCACAACTCTGAATATCCTCACTAGAGGCGGAAGACAACTCCCCAAGCCAAGCACTTTATCTAAAGGATAGAAGTGAGCAGAGACCTCCATTTAATCCCCCTTCTTGGGCTAGAAGTATTTTCCAGGACCCTAACTAAGTCTTAAACACTTGTCTTCTGGCCCAAGTAGCTTTGGCGACACAGTTTCCAGAGTTGAGAAATTTCCTGGGCTTAGGGTGCCTTAGGGACCTACCTGGCCCAAACCCTAATTTCCCCTCCTGGGGATGAGCTGTCGGCTGAGACCTTCAGCAAAGCCCCCTCCCAGGGCCTAATGTATTTTCTGGGATGGGGACGTCTCTGCAATACCCATCCCAAGCCCAGAACCTGTCTTGTGGATGGAGGGTCTCTGAAGAAACGCCCAGCCCTAGCTCACTCTCCGGGATGAGGTATCTCAGAAACTCCCATTCAGGGTCCCCATTAGAGCTAAAGCTGGATGCAGGAAACCCCCTCCCAAGTCCTGGATCTCCTTTCTGGAACAGGGAGAGGTCTCAAGGAACCCCAAGCTTAGCCATGAGCACCCTCTGGCGATTCCCACTCTCTCCTGAATTCGTACCTGGATCAAGGTACGAAAAGAACATCCCCCACTCTATTCAATTAGGGCTAAAAATATCTCCAGGGAATCCCTGAGCCCCCTCCCAAGACCCCAACTCAAATCGCGGAGCCTCCGAGGGAACCATCCCCACAGCCCACGCCTCCTCCTCACCTCCCTACTCCTCTCAGCTTCAGAAGCGGTAGCGATTCAGACTCGGGTTCAGAGACCCCCAGGGCTAGCGCGACTCCAGCTCTGGCCGGGCCCTGCCTCCAGCCCGCTCTATAGCCAATCCGCTCCGCCCGCGCCTGCTCCACAGCCAATCGGCGGGGCCCGCGCCCCATCGCGCCCGCGGATATTTTTTTGCCCCCCTAGAAGAAATATGCATTTTAATTTTGTTTTCCTCCATTTGGCTCTAAGCGGGGGGGGGGGTGCCCCCATTTGGACCCACACCGGCGGGGAGACTGTCGTTTATGTGTGTCTTAGTGGTCTTAGTGTGTCTAAGACTTAGTGTGTCGTTTATGTGTGTCTTAGACTGAAAGACTAAGGCAGTCGTAGATCCACACCTAGAGAGACGGACAGGCAGACAAGAAGGAACAGAGTCAGAGATCAGACAGACAGCAGGAAGAGATAGATGGCGGGAAGAGGGGCAGAGAGAAGACGGGGAAAGAGGAGAAACGAAGTCACAAATAAAGACTGGCAGGCAGGAGAAACAACCCCACAGGGACAGACGGACCACAGAGGAAACAGAAAGACAGATGGGATGGCAAGGCGAGGGGGGCATGGTAGACAGGCAGAGGGGCAGTCAAGGGGCAAACAGACTCAGAAACAGGTGGGTAGGGATGGGTTCATGCAAGCACCTGGAGAAAGGCAACAGGCAGGCAGACCCAGTGATAGGCAGGAGACGCTGGCACAGCCCGAAATCCCCAAACGGAGGTTAGGACCAGACACACCTACCCAGAGAGGCAAAGGAATAGAGGGAGGGAGTAGTTTAGGCAGAGAGACACCCAGAGGGACAGAAGGAAACAGGCAGAGGAAGTCAGATTCAGGCAGGGATGCAGACAGGGTGGATGCACAGGCCTGGAAACAGCAGTGGGACAGCCAGGCCATTTATAGGCAGACCTCAGACAGACAGCTTACTCCGGAGAGGAATCTAGATCTTGGGGGCCTCCAGAGGGAGGTAGGGAAGGCATTTGTGGTTGGGTGGGGAGTGTGGACACACGATCTGCACACTGGGCACACCCCAAAGTCCTGGATCCCATCCCAGACATCGGCTAGGGCCTGTCCAAGCTCTCAACCAATGTTTGTCTGTCTTGTGTGGGAGTCTGTCTGTTTGATCTCATGTATGAATGTGACAGGAATGTCTGTCCCAGGCAAGGCATGTGTACCCTATAAGGAGTCAGGCAGGGTGGACTTGGAGTCTGGGCACAGCTTAACTGGGCTGCTTGAAGCCAAGGTGGATGAGAAGCCTCTTTCTAGGCCCCTTGGCTGCCTGCCCACCCCCTAGAGGGAGCACAGAATTCTCAGAAAGGCCAGGAGCTGGCTGAGGCTTCAAAGCTAGCCTAGATGCCCCCACTACACCCAAAGTTTAAGGATGGCGAGGGATGTGGTGTTTACTTCCCCACAGCAGGAGAGAGACTCCTGCACACTCAGGGGATCACTGCTACACAACAGGCCTCTTCATTGCCCCATCCAGGGACTCAAAAATGGGGGCAGGTTCACCGTCACCCACAGAGGTGTAAACAAGTACAGGCAAATAGACGCACACACTCACAGCCACACATAGAGAATACAGGCTAATGGACATGAACACACATAGACTTACCAGTGCACATTCAGAGCCCAGGATCATGGGATAGTCACACACACTTATAGCCACACAAGGATAATAGTCTTAGAGATATCATCACCTATGGACTCAGAGCTGCACTCAGAAATCACAGACCAACATGGGATAGGCTTATATAGATTTATAGACACTACAGACTCCTGGACATCATCACCCATGGACTGACAGCCATGCCAGAGACAAGCAACAGGCATGTCACACACACAGACTCAGCCACACACAGCCAGCTGAGTTCTATATCTCCCACATGGATTCTATATCTCCCTCCTCCACATATACACGTGATTCCAGGTTCAGATGGACCCAGAGCAAGCTTCCAGATTCAAGCCCTAAAATGATACTGCCGTGTGCATGTGAACTAGGATGTGCACTTGTACCACATATAACCACACGCTGCTCTAGTCCCAAAGAGAGAGGGGAACTCACAGCCAGGCATGACTGTGCAAACAGAGAGGCTACAGCCACACACACAAAGTGCATTCAAGCAAAAGGCTGCATATAGCTGTGCACATACACACAGCTATTCACAAATCACAGCAGAAAAGAAACACACAGGGAAAGTGTATATAGGTGCACAAACAGGAAGTGCAGGAATACAAAGAGTATACTTACTATCAACCAAAAAGAGGAAATCCAGAAAATAGCCCTAAAGCTGCATGAGGAAGAAACAGGGGAAGCAGATAGTACACATACGTGGCACCAAAAGAAACACCCCTAAGACACAGACACCTGCAACCTCTCACAGAGGAAAGACACACAGAGAAGAAAAACCCATACACATAGGTGATACACACACAGGAGAGACAAATACTCAAATACACTCATAACCCACAAGTATTGCAAAGAAGACAAATGCCCAAGTGACACACACACACAACCCCATACAAATGAATTGCACAGGCAGATGGTAGTATCAACACACACAGTCACCAAAAAGGGAACACATGGGTTAAGTGTGGTGGCTCTCATGTCTGTAATCTTAGCACTCTAGGCTGAGGTGGGAAGATCACTTGAGGCCAGGAGTTCAAGAACAGCCCAAACAAAAAGCAAGACCCTGTTTCTACTAAAAATAGAAAAATTAGTAGAGATTTTAGGTGTTGTGGCAGGCACCTAAGTAGTCCCAGCTACTCTGGAGGCTGAGACAGGAGGATCATTTGACCCCAGGAGTTCGAGGTTACAGTGAACTATGATGACACCCCTGCACTCAGTGCAGTGCCCAGGTGACAGAACAAGACCTTATCTCACAAAAAAAAAAAGAAGAAGAAGAAGAAGAAGAAGAAAGAAAAGAAAAGAAACAGCCACAGACAGAAGACAAAACCAGACAAGTTACTTAGGAAGACACACATGCCGCTCACATGCAGGTGGTTGTGGCTGAGAACCTGTACAGGCAGAAGAGATACACTCAGGCTATTGACACATAGAGAGAAAAATACCCCTGCCCAGCACCCTCCTCCCCATCTGTCATCTATCTGCTCTCTCTCTTCTCTGATAGCCCTCCCCCACAGTTGTGCTGACCTGGCCAGGGAAAGAAACACCTGTTAGCACAGGCCTTGGCCCAGGTGGTTAAAGGGGGTAGAGCTGAGGCCAGGCAGGTATCTATATTTCAAAAAAAGCCTGAAGTGTCCTGTCCAAAGTATTATGTACCTTGGACAAAAAGTAGATGTCCCCCCATACATTCACCACCCCCAGCTGCAACCTTCTGCTCTGATCACTTCCCTCCCTGTCCTCCCAGGGTCTACCCCATCCCTCCAACATTGCCCAGCACAGGGCTACCAGGCAAACAGCAGGTATCAATAAATGCCATTTATCAAGTGTCATATCATAACCATTATCATTTTTTTTGAGACAGAGCCTCAAGCTATCCCCCTGGGTAGAGTGCCATGGCATCACAGCTCACAGCAACCTCCAACTCCTGGGCTCAAGCGCATCT